ATTTCAAAAGAGTTTAATTTTCCCAAATCCATTCAGTTAGTAAGAGGCAGAGCCGGACCCGAAACCCAATGTGCCTCCATCATAATGTCTGTGGCGCTTGCTCTCCCCTCCGCATATCATCACGTTTTGTCTCAGTAGCATTCGTTTCAGCCTTCCTCTTAGTGCACACAGAGAATAATGCGTGATGACATGAAAGGAACATTGGATTGTGATGTAGAGCATTTAAATGTTCCTCTTGCTTTCTCTTTCTAGCCCTTATGAACAAGAGGACAATAATACCCGTCTTGCCCAATTCAGAGATTTACTCTGAAGGCACAATGTAGGAGGAGAAGTGTCTTCTCAGCTGGAAGGTTCTACAGAAATGCCATCAGCATGTCTCTGATAATTCCACACATTCCACAGAGGCTGCAACGATCTCTTCATCTGCCAGGTCCCCACCAGTTGTGACAACAATGAATGGATCTGATTACCCTTTATTTCATAATATTCAGAAAACTCCAAAAATTCAAAATGTGTCTGGAATGAATGCTATCACCTCTGGAGAGAAAGGCTTCGTTATTTGCAGATGTTAGGATTGTCTACCTGGGAATCCCAACATAACCAACAGAAGAGTTGTTGGGTTTTTTTTTAAGAGTATAAGAAAGTTCAAGAACTTGGAAATTCCATTGAAAACATTCTTCCTTCTATGGAGACCATGTACAAAGAACATGTGTAGCTGAAAACCAAAACACATGTTCCTATGTCCCCAAAATAAAAAGACACACTTCTTGGTACTTGTAAGGGATGTGAAAAGCAGCCAAGTTTGGAAAGAAGTAAAAAACAGAGAGTTCAGCGTGGTTGATGTAATCCTCACTCAGAGAAAATATTTTAAAAACTGAGGATAAGAAGAATTCATTTTGAGACAAACAAAAAGGGAGAGTATTCACTATTAGCAGACCCTTTCTAGAAGAATACTAAAAGGTGATTTTTCAGGCAGAAGAAAATAAAATCTTATGGAAGCTTCAGATTCAGTAGAGAGTGAGGAGTAATTAAAAGGGTAAATACATGATTTAGTCTACATTAATACTGAATTTATAACAATACATTTTTTGTGAATTTTAAGATATATAGTGGGAATTACAATACAGTAGATTATATTACACTGTAATAAGCCAAAAGTACATAATATAATCTGTAAGGTAACTAATTCCAGGAAAATTAAGGTATATGTAACTACCAAGGTAATAGAGAAATACGGAACAATGGGTAAAAAAAACAAAACAAAACAAAAAACCAAAACCCAATCCATTCACATGAAGACAAGAGAGGAAATAGTCTATACAATGCCCTCTTTTGGTTTCCTGTGCTTTCACCCCACTATCTGAGTCTTCAGCCCAGCAGGAACTCCTGTCTTGGGTAATGATTTTCTGTGATTGTTTCTGATTTCCTTAGCATGGGCCGCAAAGGCGGGCAGAAAACAGGTACAAAGGTGGCTTTGTCACTTCACTTCCATTCTCCCCTTCAGTCACATGAAGTCACTTGGCTTTATGACCTCATTAGTCCCCAAAATACACCTAGCCCTTTCTGTCACTTCCCTCCTTTCTTTTCTTCCTCCGGCAAACTCTTAATTCAAACTGGACGAACCGAATCTGATGTTGCCTCTTCTGTGAAGATTCATTTTTTCCCTCTTTCTCTTCTGTGATTCACTGTTGCTTGAAACTGCTTGCCTTTATGAAAACTGACATATGGTTATTATTTTCTGAATTGGCAAGCGTTCTAGATAGGGATAAAGAAGACGTAAACATTACCCAGGCGACCTCCGGCACAGAGCTGTCTTTGTGCTCAGATGTCTTAAGGAAATGTAACAGCCACACACACGTGGGCTCCTTCCGCGACGCCCTCTCCTGCCCGGGTCTCCCCCCCTCATCTGTATGTCACAGCTATCATCTAATGTCAACAGAAAGAGATCTATGTGCCATTTTTAATGATTGCGTAATATTCTGTTTTATGTATCATTGCCTTAACTAGTTTCCTGTGGATACACATTTAAGCCATTTCCAGTTACTCACATTATTATAAATAATTTCCTAATGAGCATTCCACTGTGCTTTGAAACTGTCTTGACGGATGTCCCTGATCACATTGGATCATAATTATCTGTGTGCCTGTCTTTCCCACCAGACGATTATTAGTTCCCTGAGGGCAAAACCCGTTATTTCTCTTGGAATCTCCAGAACCTTGCCGAGTGCCAGTAGGAGCTTAATAGATATTGTTGAAAGAAACGAGTGGATGTTTGTATAGTCGGGTGCACATGGGTCTCATCACACATGTCCCCTGTTCTCACTCGGTTTCTCACTGGCCTGGAGCCTGGTCTCTCCTAGGCTTTCTACAATCCTCTACTTGTTTCTAACCTCTTTTTACAGATCTCATTACCAGGAACATAAATTCAATATGCAGCTTTAAGAGATTAGAATATTTTTTTTTAAAAGAATTCTAATATTGCCAAACCACGATTCCCTCCATAGATTGTGGTGGCCTCTGAAATATAGTTTATAAATTGCAGAGACAAAAAATGCAGATACTTGACACTTCTTGTCCTACACTAGGCTGAGATGAGTTATTAAAACTGAAACTGTCAGTTACAAGGAAAAAAGAGCACATATGGCCCGTGTGTTACATGCTATTTACAGCCGTTGTCTATTAGGGGTTCTCTGGGGCGCCATTCGCTGCTACAACTGAATGGCCCCGTAAGTTTAACTCACCGCTGTGACTGCAAAATTGGCTTAAATCACAGAGAGGAAGAGAGGGAAATGAACTAGAAACGGCTAAAATGCTGCTTGTATCTTTCTGAGAACCCATGGTTTTCTTCCTTTGCTTGTTCAGGATGCTCAGAACAGCCTGTTAGGTCTTGTGGTGCACTACAATGTAGCAGGTGATCAGCCTGCCTCTCTGAAGGAAGGATAATTGTCACTGTGTAGTTGCAAGGGCAGCCTTTGGCTTATTGACTAATGCTCTGGGAGGCAAATGGTGCACACAATGAGAGCGGTCAGTTACACTGAAAATTTACAAGAGCTTAAGCTATTTTTTATTTCTTCTTGCTGGGTGGGGAGCACTTACTATTATTGTTCAATGTGCTGTAAATGAACATAGTTCAAAAACCACCAAGTGAGTGATATGGAATTGTAGGACCAAAAATAGGCTACTGATTGGGTACAAATTCATCAAGCCTCTTTATTCTCAACAGGCTTTTTATTGGAGTGCCAATGCAGCTTGCTTTGGAAAGCGTTAAAAGTGACTGTGAGCAAATGATAGAGTGAGGAAGTTGACCTTCAGTTAACTTCAACTGTGCTCAGCTAGCTAACTGTAGATCCCTTCCCCTCCCCTGCGCCGCCTCCCGTGTGCTTATTTAGTAAGTTCAGTGAGCAGATCATTAGTTTGACGTGAAGATCGCCCAATTCAATACACAGGTTCTTTGGAAATGTGTGCAACTCCTCTGAGGTGGAAAGTGGTGGGCCTGGGGCTTGATCACTGGAAATAGGGCTCTGAAAGTTGTTCCCTATTGGGCCACATGGCCCCCGATTAAACAGATGTCTTACGAACAATGATGTCAGAATTACCTTTCAGAAGCAGTCTTTGGTGTATGTTTTTTCCTGCTGAAAAACTACCATTGACTCTATGTCTGAAAGTAGTGGTCGTCCCCCATTCTTTTCTGGGGCATGCCTATCAAACATTGTCATTGCAAGTCTGTCTTTTACTCTTCTCTCCCCAGCCCACAAAGTATGCCTGAATGCATGCCATTCATGCTACCATTATTGTATGGATGACTCGAAACCTGTTCAATATATACAGTAGACCCCCCCCTTCTGTGAGAGATACATTCCAAGACCCCCAGTGGATGCCTGAAACTACAGATAATACTGATCCCTTCATGTGCTATGTTTTATCCTATATATACATACCTGTGATAAAGTTCAAGTTATAAATTCAGCACAGCAAGAAATTAACAACTAATAATAAAATTGCACAATTATAACAATATCCTGTGATAAAAGTTATATAAATGTAATCTTTCTCTCAAAGTGTTGTCCTGTACTTATCTTATGCCTTAAAGGGGCACTTTATGGCTTCTCTGTGGTGCATCTGAATTGCCAGCATCACTGCTCTTGCGCTTTGGGGCCATTATGAAATACAATAAGGGTCACTTGAACACAGGCCCCACGACACCATGGCAGTTGATCTGATAACTGTGACAGTTACTAAGTGACTACAGAATACAGGGAGTATGTACAGCGTGGAGACGCCAGATGATTCATGTCCAAGGAGGAGTGGATTGGGAGCACATGAGCCTTCATCACACTCCTTAGAGTGGCATGTGATTTAAACTTATAAATTGTTTATTTCTGGAATTTTCCTTCTAATATTTTTGGATCATGGTCGACTGCCAGTATCTGAGCCATGGAACTAGAAATCACAAATTGGGGAGGGGGATACTATATGCATATATAATATATGTATGCATATATATTACAAGCAGACATCTTTATTTTTATTAGTAACTGATGATTATTCAGCAGACCTCGTTACTAATCACAGCACACCAGTGAGATGTTGACTCCGTGGTTGAGAGCTTCTGATATATAGAATAAAGTCCAGGTCATATGTGTACATGTCACAACTGATAGGGATGAAGATAACCAGCATCTTGCTATTAGACTCCAGAGAGCTATTTTATTTTATTTTTTGTGGTCTTGCTAAGCTGCTGTTGGTGTCTTTTCATGCCTCTAAGTATTTGTGTTTTCCACAACAGCCTTGAGCTTTAATGTCATACGCCCTTGAGTGTTGCAGACCGTAGGAGCAGGTAGAAAATGCATAAATGCGAATCAGATACGTGTTAGAACCAGCTGACCTGTTTCTGACTTCATGGCGGTCCCGTGTAATTCTCCAGGTGGCCCGCTGGAGGTTATCTGGGTGGAAATGGAAAGTGTATTTAGGTTGAATTTCCCTCTGTCTTGTTTTGGCAGGGCAGCGTCCATACCAGGTGATCACCGCCCGCGTTCACCCAGGAGAAAGCAATTCCAGTTGGGTGATGAAGGGGGCCTTGGAGTTCCTGGTCAGCAGTGACCCTGTGGCCAGGCTCTTGAGGGAAAACTTCATTTTCAAGATCATCCCCATGCTCAACCCAGATGGTGTCATCAATGGCAAGTATGTTGGCCACCTGCCCAATTGAACTGCACTTATGTTGCCATAGTAACACGTTGTTTTGACCAATGAGGAGAGGGGTGTGATTGGAGAGGCTTTGGTACTCCAGCAGGAAAAAATTTTCTTGGGCTTGTTAACTGGTACCAAAAACAATGTATTCTTCATCAGTGTCAGTCTCATAGCCTTTTTTAATAAGAAAGTATGGCTTCATAGGCAGTTAATACCAGAGGGGTCCTTAGAAATAATCTAGTTCGACACTCTTCTGTTAAAAAGGAGGAAAACTGCAATTAGGTCACTAGCCGAGGTCACATGGTGGGTGAGTGGCAAAGTCAGGGCTCAAACTATAAAATTTCCTTGCAGTTTAGACCAGTGCTTTTATTGACCTTGTAGAGTTTACTGCAGAGACATCTTTATTCTCAGTTGTATTTTATGGGATTTGGATACAGCTGTATAAAGAGTGTCACCTTCTCCACATGCTGAAGGGGGTGAAAAATGGCTGTGGGATGGTTGAAAGAGAAACAACTGAGAAGTGGTTGGCTGGGCGGGAGAAGGCTGGCGTCGGGCTTCCCCTCCCCTGGCGCCCCCTGCCTGCAGGACAGGGCACGGGGCACACGGAGCCCACCGCCTGATGAGGTCTGTGGACACGGGCCCGCGCTTCTGGGGTCTGTGAGCTGAGGCCCAGAGGTCAGAGCAGCTCCTCCGGGTCACACAGCCAAGGTCACGCGGCCAGTGGGTGGGGTGTCAGGGTTCACACTAACAAACGCCTGTCTCAAACTTCATGAAAAGAGGCTAAAGCTCCTTCCTACAATAAGTAGATGATTTTTATTTTTACTGTAAGAATGGACATTGGTGTCCAGTGGGGAAAAAAACAACACAAGATCAACAAAAATTGAAAGAAAAATAGTTGCCAAAGCTAAAAATGAAAAAGTGCCTGCAATTTATAATATCTATAGTAAAGAAGCTAAAGCACAAGTTTAGAAAACTGAGAAAATACAGCAATATTAAAAAGGTTAATCAGAAGAGATAAGACTTATAAAGAAATATGAAAAAGAAAACTACATTTCAATGAGATAAAATTAAAATAACTTAAAACAATTAAGAGAGTGTTTCAAGAAAGATAAAACAGTCATTTTTTAAGAAGAAAAAACCAAATAAATGTTAAACAGCTGAGGATAGACTAGCTTCAAAGGAGAAGCACAAAGAACATTGTTAAGTTAAAAAGGTTAACAATATAAAGATGATAATATATAAAATGAGGATCAGAATAAATTCCAAATGATAAAATATGTGAAACAATGCCAAAATACAAGTCAAAGTTGTAGACTGTAAAATTAAAATTTTCACAGATATAAAAAGAAAGAAAGAAGATAAGCAAGGTATTTGTGTGTTCCTAACATGCTTCCTGGGCCTGTCACCCCCAGACTACACTTGTTTTCGTGGAGTGTGTTTGCGGACAGAGAGCAGGCCTTTCCTCTTTGCCTGCGGTGACTGGTCTTTGAGCTCATGAGAGCAGGGGGCCAAGTCCTCTGGGAGGGAGCGCCATTCAGGCCTCCAGCAGCAACTACACTTCTTAGACCTGAAGCTAAGCTGATCTCTCCTGGCCCAACAGAGCCCAGCCATGTGCGCCTCTACCCCTGAGAACTGCCCTGGGACACTGAATGTCCCCTTCCTGCTTGAGGGCCCAGGGATTTTTACTGGCGCACTTTCTCAGCCTACGCAGATGGAAAGCAGTTCAGTAAGGCATACCGAGGGACATGATTCGTTTCAATGTTTTCTCATCCAAGTTGACTCTTTCCTGAAGTGCCTCCTTCCATGAAATTGTCTGGGGGCTGGTAGACAATGGAAAGAGTGCTAGGATTAGAGTAATAACTCTCATTTGGAATTCTGGCCCTTCCCTTGACCTACAGTTTTCTGTTGAAAGAGGACGCTCACACACTCCCTGCCAACCTGTCTGGGAAAGGGGTCTCAAGCCCCCAGCAGCCTTCAAGCTCAGCAATGAGCATTGCTCTTTCTTCCCTTTCCATTGCTCACACCTCCAAACCAGAGGTTGATCTGGGTCTTTGGTTGAAAGGTTAATGTGGTCTTGGTCACTGAGCACCCTCCTGGTTCGGACACAGTGCTTGGGTGTAGATCACAGCTGGTTGCACTGGACTCCCTGCTGGATGGCCAGCTTCTGCTCAGTGATTCTGCCCTTTGTCTATTGATCAGGACTGAAATTACCCTTTTTATTTATTTAGCATCTTTCATCACACAGGGTCGAGGCACTCAGATCACCTGAGCAATTTGGGCTGAAAGAGGCTTAGACTAGTCTTATTCTACAGAGAGGAAAACCCAGAGGCCATGGCGCATTGTCACCCAGAGACTTCCACGGGGGCACAGCATCACGTGACAACAGGGCATAGAAGTCTCAGCTCAGAAACTCTTCTTATAACCTACCTGACATGTGGTTTTGTGTAAATAACCTCTCGAACTCCTTCTGTGAGCAGTGTTCCATTTCAGGTCGTGCCCTGTCTGTTGGGCATGAGTAGGTAGATTTGTGTTTTTTCTTGTTTTATTCCTTACCCTGGGAACTTCACACATTTTAGGCGGTCTCACCTTAGGGCAGCCCACGGATAAGATCTAATCATTCCTTTATGTGCCTTGACGTCCCCATGTGAACGTTTGATGCAGTCCTCTCCAAGTGTGATGCAGTTCACCTCAATATTGCTTAGGTAATACTGTTTCTGACGTTCTGACCTTCATTGATTTTTCTCTGCACTCATTCCTCTTAATAGGCTTCTTAAAGGTAACATAATTGCCTTGTGTATGGTCTGACCAGCAAAGAGGCAATTTTTGCATAAAGATTACAGAGCCTAAACTTTAAATGGTCCCCTAATGAACTAGACTGAACTTTTCTTTCACAAGTAATCATGGGCCATCATGGAATTTGCAAGAATGTGTAAACGTAGAGTCGTTTCCTTTTGTGGTGATGGTAATGGGGCCTCTAAGGATGGCTGGGAGGTTTTGATACTAGTGGTCAGGGAGACCAAGCCAGGATTTTCTAGCAAAAATAGAGTTGGTCTTGCCAAACCAAAGATCTCTTAGCAACACATGTCCGTAACAGGAAAACAAAATACAAAGATGGTTTCCAAAAGAAACAGCCTTCCATCTTGCTAGCCTGGCTGTTTGTATTGAGCTGGGTGGAGCTATAAGTAGGAGAAACAATGCAAGGGTCCCTGGACGCACGATCCTTTCTAACGTTGGGTAAATTGGGTTAGAGCAGAGCGGGGTGGTTAGAGTGTGGAGTGGGGAGAAGGTGGGTTTTTCCAGAACTACTTAAAAGGCAGACACGGCCGGAAAGTGAGGGAGAGAAAGCAATTCGGCCTTATCCCCGGTGTTTGGACTGTGTTGGTTGGGTGCACGGTGGTGACAAAAAGATTTCTATGAAGGCAATGCACCACCCAACTTATTCCTGGGAGAATCAGAGTATATTCATTCTTAGTATATATACAGTTTTACAAACTGGATTATCTTTTCCCAGGGCCATTGTGGAATAGAAACAAACAACCGTCAAGAGCAGAGGGCGCACATATGCTACGTAAACACACCAAGGCATTAGGAAGTCATAGCTGAATGCTCCAGGGGAAACAAAGGAAACTCTGAAAATCGGATTTAAAAATCATACAATTTTAACTGTTTGGGGCCATTTAAAGTTAGTGCCAATAGTCTTTTACTCCGCTGTGGGCTGTGAAGTCTTTATTATACTCTAAAAGAGCACTCACAGACTTTGTCTAAAAACAATGTATTCAGCGCCTTCTATAGGACATACAGGAACTTAGTTCTCGCACATATATTTTCTTAGCTAATCCTAACTATGGCCCAACAAATGTAGGTCTTCCTCTGTCCAATCTCTAGATAAGAATAAAAAAAACAACGACAACTTTCGTGCACAGGGGTGATGCCTTGGGTGCAGTTTTAACAGCCAGTTATTCGGATCAGGTGCTGGGACTTGTCTCCCCTGCACTACTTTCCTGTAGAGATTTAAGGGCATTACAATAAAAGAACCTTAAAATGTTCTAGCTGGCAGACTTCTTGTATGTTATGTAGTTCCAATCCTTCAAATGAAAAGGAAGCTGAGACTAAAGAGGTAAAATGAGTGATCCAAGATCACACAGATAGTTCATGGCAGAAAGGGCATGAGAAATAGTCTAGCTAATCTAACTGCTTCTCCCTGCTTTGTGGGGGGGAGGGGGAGAGGAAGGAAAAATGAGGGAGGCTGGTCAAGGCCGAGGGAGATCAGCTGTCAGAGGGCCAGCCTCCCAGTAGATCCTCCCCCCCGCCCCCCCATCACTCAGCAAGGCACCTGGGACCCACTCTCTGCAGCCTTCACTGATGAGCTGAAAAGCCCATCAGGAGAACGTTCGCCATGCCCTGTGGCCTCTGAGAGGCTGAGTGACTGAGGTCATAGTGTCCATATAAATGACACCGATGGTCACCGTGACACGACATGACACAAGATGAGGGTAATATCTTTTCGAACTTTGATTCCGAAGTTTCAGCACCAGATTCTCCTAGCAAGGCCTGGAGCATGCAGAGCTGCGCTGTGGGGTCTCCCTGTGGAATGTCTGTGAGCCCAAAATCCCATTTCTTAGCCGTGACTAGTTAGCCGGTACCGTCCTGTGCTCCTTCACCGTGGAGCTCAACTGCTCTGCCTGCAAGCTGTCAAAGGAATGTAAACTCGCAATCACACACTAAATTTTCAATTTGAAAATTTAGATTGTTTTGCTGTTCGGTACTGGTTGGAACAGATTAGAGTTGTCCGTGAGTGGACATTGTTGCTTTGTTTTTAGGGAATTTTTAAGTTTTTTGGACCTGGAGCAAAGGTTGGCTGTTGGGTCAAAATGTCAGTCAGGGTCTGCGTGTCTCTGCGCTCGGGAGCTCTGGGCACGACTGCACACCACAGGGATCGCCTGGGCTGTGAGGACGTTTGTGCGGGGCCTGGCTTTAGAGGGAAGAGCCGCACA